AAAAAAAAAAAAAAAAAAGTAATAATAATAACTGCTACGCACATAAATCAATGTGTGGCATGAAGCTAGTCTCGCTCTCTTCCAGAAATTTCTATTTCCAAGTTTCAGACCTTGAAAACATAGACAGCAGAAATCTGGTACTTATTTCTATGATGGTTGCTATCCCCCAAATAGACTGAGCAGCCTAACAACTGAGGTGTGGCAGAAAACCAGACCCTTCCCCCTCCCCTCAAACATGAGTGCTCCAGAAACCAAAAGCTTTATAGCTTAATAGCTTGGCATGTGGTAAGGCCATAGTTCTGATTCTTAATTTTTATCCCACTCCAGAGTCCCAGTGAATAAATAAATAAATAAATTGCGGTTATTTTGCAGATACCTCAGTAGCTACAAAAATACATAACACGTTGCACAAAGTGCTGGCCAAAGCCCACTTTCATGACTCTCACGCCTTACTAAGACCAAGAAATGGGAGGGAAAACCCAAGAATCAGCTGGGGAAATGTTTAGCGGGCCTGCGGGGTGTTCTCTTAACGCTGTCGTAGATCTCGGATTAAATTATTATACTTCTTCTGTGTTGTAGTACCGGGTCAGTTGTGCAGGAGGACAAAGGCAACTTCAACTTGATATTTCTGTCATCCCTGCTGTGGGAAGAGTCCTGTTCCTGGTTTATAACATCAATCACTCTCACAATAAATCTTGTTGGTGGATATGGTCATTTAAAGCTCCACCTGCACAAACAACAGAAAATAAGAGAGCTCATAAATCTCTACGCTGGTGATTAACAAATTTTGGACCCTGGGCAAAGATATTATGGGGAGGGGTTCTCACTAATTCATTAATAAAGACTGATTTGCTGACAATCTGTTTAGTTTACAGCATGGGGGAAAGCAAACAAGACCCTGCTAACAAAACAAAACGTTAGAGGTTAGTGAATTCCCAGCTGAGCCCCGGATTAGAGATATGATATCTTAATGTAGGAGAGGGGTGCAGACTCCAGCCAAAACCTCAGAAGCTGCTCTTACACTCTGCTCCAGCCTCTGTCTTCGCTGCCTAACTGCAAGGAAAAAGAAAACCTGGAGAAGAGTCAGTAAGAGAGATCCGTGCACTCCATCTCTCCAATTTTGTGGATTGTATTCAACCTCTTGGCTTTCCGGTTCCCTTTGCTTTTTTCTACTTACTCTCCAGATTTTCTTATTCTCCAGGAAAGATGATCCATGCTGGGGTTAGAGATAGGAAAACAAACAAACAAACAAACAAACAAACAAACAAAAAAACACCTTTCCCAAGGGATAATACTGCTTAGTGTTTTGCCATATCAGCTTCATATGGGGAACCCCGATAGCAAAGAAGACAGAGGTAAGGAAGACGCAAAGGCAGCAGGATTGGGAGGGCGAGGGCAAGTCCCAGGCCAGGTAATATCTGAGAGCGGCTGAGAGAGTCTTAAGACATTATTAAATGTACCTCTAGAAAGAAATGTAGGGGACAGTTTTAATTCCGTCAAGAAAAGATGATCAATTAGCAAAATACTTTCCACACACTCATATTACTCTATCTCATGCCCGCGAAGCTGTGTGTGTTGCACATGGGCGTGCGATGGTCTAGTATGTTTGGGTACACACAGGCAGCTCCTTGATCTCTTTAAAGTGGCCGGGTGCGGACGGATGCTTTGGTGCTTTCTCTGCACCATCCTAAAGATTCTGTGAAGCACTTGTTTCCTTCATTTACCCCGGTGAAGGTGGGACGATAGCTCGGTAAAGCCACAAGGGCATTCTGGGGTGCTGGCGGGAGGGAGTCGACCCCTGCCTGGATTTTAATTGGTGTTTTAATTGGGGGAGGGAAGGGGGGACGACAGGGGGATGCTTGTGAGATTTGCGGTCGGTCGGAAGGCCTAGAAAGGGCAAAAGGAGCTGATCATTTCCCCGAAGTCCTGGGTAACAACCGGCTAGGACCTCTGAAGAAGGAAAGCAGGCCGGAGGAGACGGCCCAGGAGAGGGGCTGTGGGTGGGGCACGCTCCTCCTCGGCTCTAGCAGAAGAAGGTGACCCGCATTCGCGTGTGGCCCTTGAGTCGATCCACACTGCGAGTTGGAAACGGGGATCCGTGCGCAGGAGTTTCCCTCCGGTGGTGAAAGGGGTCGAAGAGTCCGCCGGGGCCTAGGAGGCCCCTCCCCTGGGCTACAAGGACCCGCCTCTCTATTCCCCAGATAAATTCCTAGTGTCCACCAAATTCCTCAGCGCTCTCTCACACTCCTCTGCGGCCAGGACTCCGGGGGTGGGGACACAGAGCCGGGTTCCTCCCCGCAGAAGCCCTCTCGGTTCCTTCTCACAGCTCTGCGAAGGGGAAAAGGAGTGTAAGACTCAACCAGCCCCCCGACTCCCGCTCCCAGCACGAGGTGGCCGCTCCGCCCTCCACCCCCGGGGGCCCACTGGTTTGGGGCTCGCGCTCGCTCGCTCTCTGTCCCTCTCTCTCTCTCTCTCTCTCTCTCTCTGATCCTCTCCCCCAAACATGTCCACCGGCTCCCTCAGCGATGTGGAGGACCTCCAAGAGGTGGAGATGCTGGACTGCGACGGGCTGAAAATGGACTCGGGCAAGGAGTTTGTGACTTCCAACGAGAGCACCGAGGAGAGCTCCAACTGCGAGGCGGGGTCGCCCCAGAAGGGCCGCGGAGGCCTGGGCAAGAGGAGGAAGGCGCCCACCAAGAAGAGCCCCTTGGGCGGCGTCAGCCAGGAGGGGAAGCAGGTCCAGCGCAACGCGGCCAACGCGCGCGAGAGGGCCCGGATGCGGGTGCTGAGCAAGGCCTTCTCCAGGCTCAAGACCACCTTGCCCTGGGTGCCCCCGGACACCAAGCTCTCCAAGCTGGACACGCTCAGGCTGGCGTCCAGCTACATCGCGCACTTGAGGCAGATCCTGGCGAACGACAAGTACGAGAACGGTTACATTCACCCGGTCAACCTGGTAAGTCCGCGGGGGCCCGCGAGGCGGGCCGGGCGTCCCCGCCCAGCGCGCCCGCGGCGCGGTGAGCGCGCGCGCGCCCCGGCCACCACCAGCCCCGCGCGCCTCTGGGGACCTTTGCGGGCGATCCGCGCTGAGAGCCGCTGGAGCGGGGATGATTTATGCAAGTGCTTAACGTGGCAGCCCAATTAAGATTTTTGCAAGTGTCCTGAGCTGGCAGCGAGGAGGGATCCCCCCGCGCCCGCGCCATCTGGGCTGATGTGGGACAGGGAACCCAGACGAGATGCTGCGCGCCCACAAAGGCATTTTATTCATCTCTTTCTTCTTCTTTTAGCCGACGAGACCTTGATTTTCCCCTCTAATTTTTGTACATAAAAACACCCAGCTCCGCTTCCCTCCCAAGTATATTTAGGACCATTAGATAGTATAGACAAACTCGTGCCCCCATAATTGTCATCTAAGCCCCCAACTGCTTAAATATTCTGCGCTTCTCTTATAAACATGTTAACATTTTTAAATCCCAGGAATTCTAGGACACATCAGCATAATCCGCAGATTCTCACAAATATCAGTGTCATAAATAATATTCGAATAGGTCATTCTTGCCCAAGATTTAAAAACGTGTTACATTTTATCTTAAAAAGTAATGACCTTTCAGTCTTAAAAAAAAAAAAAAAAGGAATGCTCATTGAGGCTAAATTTTTCTCAAATGCATGTTGCCATGCAAGAAACACGGTTTAACTCCTTTTTGACTTGACTTCATTTTAAAACTTGCAGGCTCTAAAGAAAAACAACCACAACTTACTAGCACCTTTGTTTATATATGATAAGAAGGAGAGGTTTTCCTCTTGAAAGTCGCCTTATCGGCCAGCACTAGCGGGAGAGGTTTGAAGCTTTGAATCCTCTTCTCACTGAATTGGTTTCAGGAATTGGGGGGAGGGGATGCGGAAGCACACTTTACCCTGGTAAATATTTTTCCCCTCTGATCACAGTTTTATTTTATTTTTTTTCGAATAAGGTGAGTAGATAGCTTTCTTAAAATCTGGAACCAAAATGAAAGTACTTACCTCATTTACAGTTGCTGCTGCGTTCATCTCTGAACAGGAAACTTGAGTGAGCTGTGTTATAGAACGCCTGGGAGAAGAGAAAAGGCAGTGCTCGCTCAGCCCAGTAGGAAGATGATGTTAAATAAAATAGGCGCGTATATTCTTTTATTAGCGTTATTTTTGTTCCCTTAAGAACCAGTGGTTCGTTTAGAAACTGTGGTCAAAGCCCGCGTGTGTGAGGGAGGAAATGAAAGTTGGCAGGAGAAAAATAGATGGGGGTGAAAGCCAGAGGGCCGGGAAACCTGACCACGGCCTCGGAAGAGGCCTCCGAAAGCCGCTTTGCCTCGAACCCGGTATCCACTCGCCACGAGGTCCTACTTGGCTGCCCAGCTCAGGCTGACCGTGGCCTCGGCCTCCGGGCTGGGCCAGGGCCCCAGCCACTTTGGGCTTTCCAAGGGCCCCCTCTCTTGGGGTTCCCTTACAACCCAGGTTGAACCTCTTTGCTCCAACACCCCGAGCAGCGACTTGGCGCCAACACTGCTTTTTCTTTATCCAGCCACCGGGCGCACTAGAACCCCGAGTAAATTGCAGAGATAACGGGTTTTTACAACTCACCGCCTGCCCCCATCTCGCCCTCTCCTCTGGTCGCAGGCTCTGAGCCCACCCC